CACGGGCTCAACTTATACCAAAAAAAGTTTCATATTTCGTAAAAGCTTATTTCCTTACAAAAAAGTCTTGTTGCGATGTGCGTTTCCTCGTCGTTTTTTTCTGCCATTTCCGGATCATCGCCGTTTGCGTGTTTTCGCTGGTTGGTGCCACGTCATGTCTGCCGTCTCTCCACTTTGCCAACTATTTGACTTTGCGACGTTCCCGTAATGAGGGTTCTTGCTCGGGAGCCTCCCCAGCTGGGAAGAAGAATCCATACACTTTGTTTGTCTTAATAGTGATCTTGCATGCTCGCACCGCGCGCCGATGCCCGCCGCCACAAGAAAGTGGTCGACGGGTGCACTGTACTGACGTGGACATTGATGACGACATACACTCACATACACACATAGTCACTTGAAGAATTTACGTGAAAAGCTCCTGTTTGAAAGACTGTTGTAGATAATAGGAGAATAAGGAAAAGATTGAGCTTGAAACAAAGGGGATATCATTTGAAAAAAGAATGTTTTTTTTTGATTTTATCGTTTGTAATTTCATGTTTTTTTGTTGTTGACCAACAGTTCAAAATAATATAAAATCAACTAACCGTTGTTACAAAAATATTAAATGTTGAAAAACAATTGCGAAAAATGTTTCTATTAGAGACTAACTTGGTAATAAAAGTACCGTACTCCCTCTATTAGTATTGCACCATCTAATAGCCTTTCACTTACTTTTTGCTAGGCCAGGCACACTTTGTGAAAATTTAGAAACATTTGTAATTTTTTAAAGATAAATGCAACGTTTAAAGTTTTTACGAAACTAAAAATCATATGCTACTTACTATTAGGTTTCAGATAACACGTGGTCAAACTTTTGTCAAAGATCAATTATTTTCCAAAGCTGCGGGCATTTTGAAATTAGTATTGAAGCTTATTTCAATCTTGCAGTCCCCATCTGAATTTTGTTCGTTTGGCACTTGAAGAAATTAAATATATAATGAGGAAGTACCTATTTTTAAATCAGTACACAATAAGTAGACTGAGTCTTACAATTAGGCTAGTTTTCACTTTCACGTCAGTTTTTGTTATCATGGCTACAGGTTTTACATTTGGTCTATGAATACTTCTTTAACTATTCCAAAAATATTTAAGTTTTTGTGCATTTTTTTATTGAACTAGAAATTTATACGCGATTTAAAATGCGCCACACTTCAGAGAAAAACTTGCTAGTACACGAAAACCAGAACAAATTGGAATCGTCGTCATTTTTTAGATTAACCCACAAACGTCAAAATCAAGCTGGAGTTTAAAATATAAAAATATAAAGTTCATGCACATCATGCTCCAAAAATGTTCCGAAAAAGTGGAAATAAGGAGAAGAAGTGTCTCCAACCATCTCATCAAACAAATTCCCCCTTTTCCACCGTTTTCTGCCTCTGTCAACCTGTCTACCTCTTAAGGTTCTCTCATCCTCTCCCATGCGGGAAAAAAGAAGCTCCTTCGGTGGAAAAAAGGCGCCCCTCCCGATTATTATGCAACTATGCATATATGCTGCTGTAGGAGCTCTCGCGCACCCATCGCGTCTCAAGCATTTCAAATCACGACTCGTTTTGTTTTATTTGGTGACATTGAAACAAAAGAGGGCAAATGGCTTGATGTCTTCTGCGGACTGGATTTATATTGAAGCCTTTTATTCAAAAAAAGAAGTGTAAGAGAGATTCATGTACAACAAAAAAACGGAAGCATTCATCTGGAATTGCTTCTGGAGGAGGCTAAATTTTTGATCACTCAAGTTTTAAAGCTTTTTAAAGGAAACCTGATATTTGAATTTTTTATTTCGAAGAACAATTTGAGAAAATGGTGGTAGCCATCTGATTTTTATTAATTTAATAAAACTCATCTGAGAAATGAAATAGAGGGAAATATGTATGGAAGTCAACCAAAAACATTTTTCAACCCAGTTCTGTATTTCAATTTTAAAAAATTGTTTGAAAATTTTAGTAGTTTGACTCCGGACCGACAGTAAATTTGGTGAATTGCCAAAGTTTCGAAAATTGGCAATTTGCCAAAACGTTGAATGAAAATTTTGAAGGTGGATGTCCGTGGGGATTTTGTTTTAAGTAATATAAAATTGGTCAAAATGACGAAAAATAATCATTAAAACCCGAAAATTTTGAACCTTATTTTATTTTAAACTTCCAAAAATTTTCTAATCAGTTTTAATACTTCACAAAAGTAGGTTCTTCAAAATATCTGAATTACTATAAAATTAATTGACTCAAATCTTAATAGAAACCAAAACAACAAGATAGCACTGGTTGGTAACCAAAGACACAAGATTTAGCAGTTGACCTTCTTTCCCGACGCTTCATCTTTTTCTTGAACATCTTCATGATCCCTTCAATTTCATACTTTTTGCCTTGAGACAAACCATCGGAATACACATATTCGTATGTATAATTGGCGTGTCATAATAACAGCCTTCGTTTGCTACTGCTGTTCCAACATTGTTTTTCTATGAACGACCTTTTTGTCACCCACCGAATACCATTTTATGAGATCTTCTTTGCATCCACAATCGTCCAATATTTCTCAAGAAACTCGAAGATTCGATATGGAACTCAAGTTAGGGATGAATTAAGAAAAATACAGAATATTTGTGAATTTTAGGTATCAAAATTTTTAAGAACTACTTATGAACCCTTTTTCGGAATTTTGCATTTCTAAATCTTTAAATATATGACTTTTGATTGCTTCCTACTTTGAATTATTGGCGAAATAAATTTATTACTAATTGTCTAGTACTCTTTTGTTCTGCAAAATATGTCAAGCGTTGTAAAACGAATTTAAATCAATTTTTTGCTTTTTTCAGAATAAAAAAGTAAACATTATATTAAAATTGACATTTCAGCTTTTTAAATGGTTTTCATGAAACCAATTTTCATGTTAAAATTCCATAATCAGTATCTTCGAGAGCACAAGTTATGTCTGGAGTTTTTCAGTAAAAATTCATGTTTTTTCATCGAATTTCGTTGGCTTAAAAAATTTTCAAAAATTACTATTCAGATCAAAGGTTCAATAATTTTATTTCAATTTTTCGAGTCTTTATCACTTCCGATAAAAGTTTAAATCAAATATTTATTCGTATTCAGACAATGACCAAAAAAACGATGAAATTCAAGAAATAGACTCCAATTGAAAATGTGGAAAATCCCGTCGAAGACGCTTCAGTTCTGAAAAAATTGTCTCACAGAGTTTTACAGGCACATAAACTTATAAATTAAAAAGTCAACTAACTTTGCACAAATTCCGGCCAATGAGCATAGCTTATCCATAAAATAACCGATTGATACAAGATGGTTTGCTTTGCAGTTTTCGGTCCAAGCATTATGATAACCAATTAGAGTTCTTCTTTCATTAATATTTTTCATAAGACCAGCAGA